CTCCTCCTCCTCCTCCTCCTCCTTTTCCTCCTCCTCCTCATCATCATCATCATCAGCATCATTCCTCGTCCTCCTCATGCCTCCTCCTCTTCTTCATCCTCCTCATCATTTCTCGCCCTCCTCAACGTTGCGATTCACACTCCCCGAGACGCATTTCCAGTTCATCCATGCACGCAGAATCGGTTCGGCGCCAAACACCACCTTACACTCGTCATCCAGCCTTTTCCGCTAAGGAGAACTCCTCCTCCTCCTCCTTCTCGTCCTCCTCCTCCTCATTTCTCGTCCTCTCTTTGCCTCCTCCTCCTCCTCTTCATTTATCGTCCTCTTCAGTCTCACCATTCACATCGCCTCAGTCGCATTTCCGATGCATCCTCTGGCGCTGAACTGTCTCCGCCTTCTGGCTCTGGAGAAGGAGGGATAGCTACACCATGTGAACACCCTATTTCTCCAATGCCTCAACTCTCTGGCGCTGAATCTTTCCCGTCCTGGCTCCGGAGTGATCGGGAAAGAGCAAACCCTGGAAAATCCCAATGTTCCCAATCATCCAATTCTCTGGCGTTAAACCATGTTCGCCGTTTCGCTCAGAAGTGGTCGGGGGAGTGCAAACCCTGGAGAAAACCAATTGTGCCAGTTTTGCAATTTTCTGGCGTTGATCCTTTTCCGCCGTTTCGTTCAGGAGTGATCGGGAGGGTGTGAGCAATGTACAAACAAAATTATGTGAAATTTCCCATTCTCTGGCGCTGAACCGTCTCGCCTCCAGGCACCTCAACTCGGCGACGAGCGAGGGGGGGAAATGAGAAGGAGAAGGCCTCCTCAGAAGGCGGCGGGACTTCTCAGAAGCCCTCGTGCCTTCTGAGAAGTTTTCTGTGTCATCGGGGAAACCCGAGACAATTTCTCAAAGGCCGGGGAACTTCCGAACCTTTTGAGAAGGCTTTCTCCTTCTCACTTCCCCCCCTCGCTCGCCGCCGATCAACGCCAGAAAATAAGTAAATTATTGAAAATCATCGGTTTTCACAAAAGGCTTGCACTCCGCCGATCCCCTCAGGGCCAAGACGGGAAAGGTTCAGCGCCAGACAGTGGGAAACTTGGGAACATTGGATCGTCACAGGCTTTGCTCTGTCCCGACCTCTCCAGAGCCCGAAGGCGGAAACGGTTCAGCGCCAGAGAATGGAAAACTGTGAAACAACTGTTTTTCTTACGTGTTTGCTCTTACCCGATTTCTCCAGAGCCTGCAGGCGGAAACAGTTCCGAGCCAGAGAATGGGAAAGTTTGAACAACTGTTTTTGTACATGGTTTGCTCTTCCCCGATCTCTTCAGAACGAAGGCGCGGAACTTGAACGCCAGAGAACTCCGACGCCCGCAAACGCAAACCGTTCACGATCTCAACCTCGAAAAATTGACCTGCAAAAAGCATGGAGGTTCATTTGTTGGAGGGGAAATGTGTAGATAACATCTATATATAATACATATATACAATACAATACAGACATACCTCCACACGTACAGACGTACATCTACGGAATATACGCAGATGCTTCGACTCACTGTGGCACTTCCATTCCGGTCCGCAGTGTCCGAAGAACGCAACGTCTGACGCCCAGCACCGTGGGTACGTCGAGGGTCGCCTTTCAGATCGAGGTGTCCACGCCGACGCACCTGCTCCCCCAAAAGGGGGGGTGCACGGTTTCACTCCCGCCGGCTCCTACCAACCTTCCAACTATCGTCGGCGGGTCAGCCAGCATTCTACCACCCGCCTGAATCCAAGATTGCCCCTAAGATTAGGTCGGGCCTGTCCCCCTACAGGGGGATTGTGGGCGAAAGATCAAAACAAAAAAGTAAAAAAATAAAAAATAAAAATGTGCAACAAAAACGTCCCCAGACTATTTTTTGACCACTATTGAATAATATTCCCCCTGTAGAGGGACAGGCCCGACTGAACCCTGAAAAGAGGGCCCACCAACGAACGGATCGGGGAGGACAGCTGCCTTTGGACATGGCAGCGGGTGGGCGCGGAACGGCCCGGAAGTCACCACCCGCGCGGCACCGCACGGCGACCGCTGGAATCTTCTGCCGACCCGCCGCCGGCCTCCGCCGAGGGCGAGAGGAGGTCGGCTGCGGGGAGGCGAGGGGGAGAAAGGGGAGGAGGAGGAGGAGGAGGAGGAGGAGGAGGAGGAGGAGGAGGAGGAGGAGGAGGAGGAGGAGGGAGGAGGGAGGGAGGAGGGAGGAGGGAGGAGGGAGGAGTCTCGAGTCTCTGGACGTGATTTTCCGTGTCCGGGGCGCGAACGGGCTGAGATCGTATCACGCGCGCGGCGCCGTCCTCTCGGGAGCGCTCCGCTGGAAGGCGATGGGCAGCCGGGGGCGGGGCACCAACCCATGCAAACCGTCGCGACGTCCCAAGGAGCCGATGTCGCGATTCTGTCCTGCGCTGTCCGCGAATCTCTCGACCCATGGGCCGGCCTTTCGTCCCAAATCGTTGTTGAGCGGTCCCGGGGGCCTCGAAGACGGCCGCTGGGAGACGGCACTGGCGGCGCGCAGAGGGGTGGCAGGGGGAGGAGGGGAGGCTCCTTCGAAGGAGGATGCTTCTTTGAAGGCGCCCGCATCGCACCTACAGATGATGCCCGCGCCTTGTAAGAAGCAAGGGCGCTTCTCAGAAGCCTTCCCCCTAGCCCTACACCCTCTGCGCGTGGCTGACGACAGCTGCGAACAAAAAATGTCTTGGCTTGCGCAAGGCCGCCACCGACTCTTGTGCAGGAACCGACCGTCCCGGCATTCCCATAGGTCTGCCACGGCATGCCCTTACAACAGAAAGCTCGGATAACATAAACTACCTATACGACCACCCTTCGGGTGATAAGGAGGTGAGGGGGGGGAGGGACCAACTTCGCACTCGATCGATCTCACTCTCGATATCACTATCGATCTCACAATCGATCTCACATTCGGTCTCACTATCGATCTCACTATCGATCTCCCATTCGGTCTCACTATCGATTTCACTATCGATATCACGATCGATCTCACATTCGGTCTCACTATCGATATCACTATCGATCTCACAATCGATCTCACATTCGGTCTCACTATCGATCTCACTATCGATTTCACAATCGATCTCACAATCGATCTCACATTCGGTCTCACTATCGATCTCACTATCGACCTCCCATTCGGTCTCACTATCGATTTCACTATCGATATCACTATCGATCTCACATTCGGTCTCACTATCGATCTCACTATCGATCTCACAATCGATCTCAAAATCGGTATCACCATCGATCTCACTATCGATCTCACAATCGATCTCACAATCGATCTCACATTCGGTCTCACTATCGATCGCACTGTCGATCTCACAATCGATCTCACAATCAATCTCACATTCGGTCTCACTATCGATTTCACTATCGAAATCACAATCGATATCACAATCGATCCCACATTCGGTCTCACTATCGATATCACTATCGATATCACTATCGATCTCATTCGATCGATCTCACAATCGATCTCGCGATCGATATCACTATCGATCTCACATTCGGTCTCACTATCGATATCACTATCGATCTCACAATCGATCTCACAATCGATCTCACATTCGGTCTCACATTCGGTCTCACTACCGATCACAATCGATCTCGCAATCGACGTCATCATCATCATCATCATCATCAGCATCATCATCATCATCATCATCAACATCAACATCATCAATATCATCATCATCATCGCCATCATCAACATCATCAACATCATTACCATCATCATCATCACCATCATCATCATAATCATCATCATCATCATCAACATCATGATCGGGACACCGACGGGACACCGACGGGACACCGGCGGGACACAGGCGGGACACCGCGCGCCACCGGCCGCCCGGTGGAGAATCATTTGGTCCGGCCGCGCCTCAGCCACAGAGGACACCACCGGGACACCGGCGGGACACCGCGCGCCACCGGCCGCCCGGTGGAGAATCATTTGGTCCGGCCGCGCCTCAGCCACAGGAGACTTTCCTCTCGCCCGCCCACGCAGCTTCGCCTCGCCCGCACGCACGGCACGCCCGAACACGAAACCGAAATCGATTTCCCGGTAGGGGGGCTCTCCGTTCCACTTCGATCTCACCCCCTCACCTCCGATGTGTTGTGTTTCAGGCAGAAATGTCCCAAGAACGTTCCGTGCAAACCACGAACAGATGTTACAACATCCTTTGGTGGGCCCATAAGCAAGCCGGGAAGCTTCGCCACCGCTTGAGGACCCGTGCCCTCAGGGGCCGAATACTGCGAATAAACAGCCCGTCGTGCCTTTTTGAGCCTGGCGCGACGGGATGCAGGATATGGAATGGCATGGAGCCCCCTCCTTCTGAGAAGAAGATATCACGGCATGAACATAAACTTTCGGAGGTCCGCGCGGATCTCTTGGATCTGCGCTGAACCCCCCCAGGGCGGCGCCAGAGGCGCCGCCAGGGGGGGCCAGGCGCAAATACAAGAAATCCGCATGGAACGTCGAACATGCCTGCTCATGCCTTTTTTTTGTTGTTACTCGACTCCTGCGCGAGCGTGCGACTGGCAGGGGACTCGCTGGCTCTGACAGGACGCCTCTGCCCCTACTTTGGAAACCCTCTGGCCGTCCGCCGGGTGCGCCCACGAGGCCGGCTTGGACGGTCTCCCCCGGGGCCGTAGGCGACCCAAGGAGGAGGAGGGCAAGGAGGAGGAGGAGGAGGAGGGGGAGGAGGAGGAGGAGAAGGCGGAGGAGGAGGAGGAGGAGGAGGAGGAGGAGGAGGAGGAGGAGAAGAGGAGGAGGAGGAGGACGAGGAGGAGGAGGAGGAGGAGAAGGGAGGAGGAGGAGGAGGAGGAGGAGGAGGAGGAGGAGGAGGAGGAGGAGGGAGGAGGAGGAGGAGGGAGGAGGAGGAGGAGTCGCCTGAGCCCTTCGGGGAGACCCTCAAGGCTGGCTGCCCTTCGCTCGCGCGCGCGACGACGGGCGGGCCTCGCCTTCGGGCGCCGCGGGCGGGGCCTGCTGGCGGAAGGGGCACAGCGGTGGCGGCTCCTGGCCACAGCCGGGGGGGGGGGCGCGTCGGAGCCCTGGTCCCGGGGCGGTCGGCATGGCCAGTGGAGGCCCTCCTGTGGCCTCCCCGAGGGGGGGGGGGAGTCCCAGGCAGGATGGCCCAGGAGGCACCCCCCCTTGTCCCAGAAGGCCCAGGAACGCCCAGGAGGCCTGATGGGGGCCCAGGGAAGCCCAGGAGGCCCAAGATGGCCCAGGAGGGGTGTTGACCTAAGGAGCCCGAAATGAGGAGCGCGTCCCAATTTTCCCGCATGTTGAAACTTCGATTTCCCAGGGAGAGCCTGAGGAAAACCCCAGGCAGACTGCAAAACGAACAAGGAGCACCGAGCCCTTCCCACACGAAAGGGGTTCCTTCTCCCCGACTGCATTTTCTGCTGGAAGGAGAGGAGCGGCGCGGACACCGAACAATCCGCTGCCATTCACGGGGCTATCACCGCACCCACCGACGAGCCGTTGAAACACCCGCGCAGCGGGACGATCGACATGGGCACGGAGACAGAGAAAGGACGAGGATTACTTCGGGTGAGGATGCAGGTTTGGGCGTCGCGTCTTGTGGGGGCGAGATTAATGGCGGGGGGGAGAAAGGTGCACTTCTCAGGCCCCCAAAGCCCCTGACGGGTCCTACAGGGCCCCTTTCGGGGCCCTGAAGGGCACCTTTCCTCAAGCCATCGCCGCCCTCCCATTCACCGCCCTCCCATGACGCGACGCCCAATGAGATCCTGAGCCCAGCTCTCGGGACGCTCGACGGTGGTACGGAGACAAACCCTGACATGATCGCGTCCCGAACAACAATCAGGACGGGGGGGGGTGGTCGTTTGGGGCCTCTGGGGGCCCTCGTCGGGCCCCGTGAGCGTGAAAAGCGACTGAGGATGAAAACACGGTCCTGGGGAAAGAGTCGCTCGCGTCGCGTGCCGAATAAATCCGGACGAAAGGGTTTTTGGTCGTGTGGGGCCCCAGGGTGCCCTCGCTGGGACCTGGGAGCGACAAAAACAACTGAGGATGAACAGGGACGATGGCAAATTCGGGTGAGGATGACTTTGGGCGTCGCGTGCTGCGGGGGGGGGGAGCGGGGGGCGGTACAAATGGGGAGGGGAGGAAGGTACACTCCGCGGGCACCTGAAAGGCCGCCTTGGGCCGGGTGCCCCCTTGTGCTTGTCGCAGCGATGTGGGGCACACCGCGCTCGGGCCGGAACGGGCCACGGACCAGCAAATTATGCAGCTGTGCCGAGGGGAGCGCCACGCGAGATGCCCGTGGAGGCCCGCCCCGCCATCTCCTGGGTTTGCCGGGTGCCGCCCCCCCTAGGAGGAGGAGGAGGAGGAGGAGGAGGAGGAGGAGGAGGAGGAGGAGGAGGAGGAGGAAGAGGAGGAGGAGGAAGAGGAGGAGGAGGAGGAGGAGGAGGAGGAGCTCTCCCCGCCGACGGTGCGCCGACTCGCGCAGCGCCAGCCTGTCCACCAGGCGCCGCCCCACTGGCCTGCTGACGCCTGCGCCCCCAGCGCCTTGCCCCTGTCCGTGTCCTTGTCCCAGTAAGCCTCCTCCTCCTCTTCCTCCTCCTCCTCCTCCTCCTCCTCGTCCTCGTCCTCGTCCTCCTCCTCCTCCTCGTCCTCGTCCTCCTCCTCCTCCTCCTCTCGTCCTGATGGCACAGCTGCACGGATGGAGGGCCGCTCTTTTTCAACACGGGGCCCTCGCCTGTGAGACTTCCTCGAACGGAACGACCAGCAGCGCAAATCTCAACAACAGCCAACCAGTATACTATGCATGCGCGATAAGGATGCAAGGGCCTGGGACGCCAATTTCGAAGCTTTTCGAGCGGGGCGCGGCCAGCGAAAGCGGCGAAGGATGGACCGCGGAGGCAAGGATACAAGGGCACCCTTGGGAAGGCTGCCCATCCTTACTATGTGGGTTGCCTGTAGGTGCACGGGAGGTGGGGGGGGCGGCTGCGTTTCCAACCAAGGCGCTCGCCGGCACGGCAGGCTCACATCGGGCGCTCGTCTCGCAAGGGGGCGCTGCCTGTCGGGGAGCGAGCTGCCTGTAGGGGCTGGGGGGCTGGAGAGGAGGGGGCTTCGACTGGGAAGGTGCATGGCATCCAGGGCTTCCTCTGGTCCTCCTTCCTCGCGGTTGCAGGAAGCTTGCGCCACGGGCTGGAGCCCGCAGCGTGGCCCTCTTGCCAGCTCCGAGCTAGGCCGGCCGGCCGCTGCTTTTCTTCCCGTGCCGTGGGCACCTGTGGAAATGTCTCGACGCCTTCCCCGGGGCCAACAGGCTCATTCCCAGTCGCTGTTCCGACGGAGCCTTGAGCAGGGACCAACCGCTTCAGCATTCCTATGAGGCCTGCCACGACATGCTCTCTGAAGAACAAGAGTACTGTCTTTACCACATGGAGCCGATGGATTCAATCAAGACCGTCTAAGCCAGAAATGCTCTAAGAGCACTGCGTGCAGACCACTAGAGGCTCTTAGAATATTCGAGGTGGGCCTATAGGGAAGCCAAGACGCTTCGCCACTGCTCGAGGACCCGTGCACTCAGGGGCCGAACACTGTGGACAGTCCGTCGTGTCTTGTTGAGCCCGGCGCGACGGGATGTAGGATTTGGAATGGTATGGATCCCCCTGATGGGCCGATTTTCCACCGCCACTACCATAGGTAGGAGGAGCAGGAGGAGGAGGAGGAGGAGGAGGAGGAGGAGGAGGAGGAGGAGGAGGAGGAGGAGGAGGAGGAGGAGACGACGTACCCGACGGAGGAGGAGGAGGAGGAGGAGGAGGAGGAGGAGGAGGAGGAGGAGGAGGAGGAGGAGGGAGCAGGAGGAGGAGGAGGAGGACCTCCACATCCTCCCTTCTCCCTCGTCCTACCTATGGCCGTGGTGGTGGAAAAGTTGCCCATCGCCCCCTCCTTCTGCGCGAGCGAGCGTCCGGCCGGGCCCCTCCTGGACCGCACACGGGGCCACTTGGGCGAACCAGCAAATCTTGGCACGACCGGGAGAACTGCAACCGTGGGTCCGCACATGAGTCCAAGCGGGGCCACTTCGGCGAGCCAAAGGGCAGGGTGGAGAATCAGCTCACGTAGCTGGCCTTCCTGGCGCCCCCTGGCGCCGGGAGGTGCGCATGTATCGAGGAATGGGCCCGGCGGCGGGGCGAAAGCCAGCTGCACGCAGCAGATTTCGTACCCCCCTTTCCCCATCCTCCCCTTTCGTTCGGCCCGAGCGTTCCAGCCCTTGTCTTTCTTCTCCCGCTCCGGGTCTTGCAAAACGTGCCGCCGCGCCAGTCGTTCTCGACGCGCCCACGCGGACGACGCCGACGCCACGGCAGACCCACGGCCAAGCCCTGCGCCCCGCCCACTGCAAGCAGACGACGCCGGCACCGCGGCAGACCCTCGGCGAGCCCACGGCACCCGAAGCGGCGCCGCCTGCCCTGGCGACCGCGGCGCCCCGCTCCATAAGACGGAAGGCCGCGCGTGGGAATCAGCGGCGCGGCGACACACGAGGAGGAGGAGGAGGAGGAGGAGGAGGAGGAGGAGGAGGAGGAGGAGGAGGAGGAGGAGGAGGAGGCTTCTGCGGCGCCCTGGTTCCCGGAGCCCTGACGAAGCCGTGGGGCCAATCGGGTGTTGCCAGAAGTGCCCCTGGCCCAAGGTACCCCAAGGATTCCCATGGCGGCCCAGACGGCCTCCGGGGCACCCCCCACGAGGCCCAGAGGGCCCCAGGTGCTCCAGAACGGAGCGCAGAGCCGGGGGCACCCTTCAGGCCAGGGGGCACCTCTGGCAGCACCCGAGGCCCGAGGCTTCCGGCGCGCGCGTCTCCTGGGGCGCCAGGACGCCGCCCGCCGCCGCCGCGCTGCCGTTCCCGCCGCCTCGGCCCGGCTCGCCCGCGCGCGCCGGCTGGCGCCGCCGGCGGCGGCGACGCTGGCGACGGCCGCAGCGGCGGCGGCGGCGGCAGTGGCGGCGGCGGTGACGGCGACGACGGCCACGGCGGCGGCGGCGGCGGCGGCGGCGGCGACGACGACGACGACGACAAAAAGACTTAGCGCCGCTCTGACTCTGGCGCGCTTGCGTGCGTCTGCCCGAACCAGCTACACCCAGGAACACCCAGCCGACGGCGGCGACCGCGCCGGCGGCGGCGCACGATGGTGGACCCCGCGTCCCTGCCTGGAGCTGCGCCTCTCGGGCGCCCTGGCGGCGGGCCGGCGAGGCCGGCAGGGGGCCAATTGGGGCGGGCAGCGGGGGCGAGGCTCGCGGCGCGTCCCCCAGACATCCACGACGGAAGGCGTCTGGCAGTGTTCGGCGTCCAGGGGCCCTCGCGAGGCCCGGCGGCCATGGGCAGAGGCAGCTACCCAGAGATCCGATGTCGTGATTTTTTTCATTCCCCAGGACCACTTTTTCATCCTGAGTCGTTTTTTGACGGTCCCAGGACCCGGCGAGGGCCTCTAGAGACCGAAAATCGAAAAAAACCTCCGTCTTGATTTCTTCAATGCGTTGGATCTCTGGGTATATGGGGAGCGAAAGTGCGGCCCCATGGGGAGGGAGCAAAAGACCCCAGGGGGTCCCCGCTGTGACCAGAGTGCGACGCCGGAGGTCTTGGGCCTGGGACTCAGGCCCAAGACCTGACCTGCGATACCTACATTTACGGATCGCCAAGAAATGCCTGGAACATGCGACATCAGTTTCATTCCTGGAAATGCCTACGAACATGCGAACCTACGCATCGCCAAGATATGTTTGGAAATGCCTACAATCGCACGTTCTATCAGTTACTTTTACAAGCAAAATATATTAGCGACTTGCTTCTGAGTTACTTCGATGCCTTCTGTGATTCATCGACCCCAGCAGGGCACGCAAGTCATAAGCCTGGACCCCCTGCGCCGCCAGCCTGCGCTGCGCTGGAGCTCCCAGTCGGGAGAGCCAAGGGTTGAGAAGGGACCGACCGTCCCGGCATTCCTATAGTCCTACCACGAAATGCTCTTAGAACCCAACAATGTTCTACGAACAAGAACAATGTCCTTAGAACATAAACTCGATGTGCTAAAACAAGACCATATCCGCCAGGAGTGTCCTAAGAACATTTCCGTGGAAAGCACAAAAGGTTCTTAGAACATTGTTTGGTAAGGCTATAGGCGAGCCAGGACGCTTCGCCACTGTCTGAAAGGGGGGCGCTCTGGCCGCCGAGCGCGGCCGTGGCCACGGGCGCGCAATCCGCGGCCCGCGGGGTCGAGGGAACGGCCCGAGAGCCAGGGCCCCATCCCGAGACCTACGGGGCAGCTTTTAAGACATAGGATGTTTAAATTATAGGATGTTAAAGGCATTCTCATACATGATTAATGTATGAATAGATGTACTCCAGATTTCGTAATAAAAGGGAGGGGGTCTCAACCCTCCCAGACGAGAAGTTTTAGACCCCCCCCGTGGGAGAACCCTCCAAAACATCGTCCCAAGACCCCCCCAGGCCCTCCAAGATAGCCTGGAAGAGACCCCCCCGAAATGAGACCCCCCTCTCTTTATTACGAAATCTGGAGTATGCATGCACTCATCGTTGTTTCTGATACTAAATCCCCTGCATGTTCAATACATGATCCGCACGCGGAGCATGTATAAAAAACGGCACTGTGCGGTGGGGGCATTGGATAAGGAACCCACGCCCTCTGTCTGGCCTCACACGGAATCTCGCACAGGAAAGCGGATCCTGGTGTATGCGGGATCCTGGTGTGTACATTCTTCGTTGTTTCCCCCGGAGCACGGGGAAAAAGTATACACCACACCACCCCGACGTCGTCCCCGACCCTCACACAAGTCTTGGGATTGAGAAACCGCCCACCAATGGTAATGTATATGCTCCAGTTTCCGAATCAGGGATCCAGAGTCTGGAAGCTGGTGGAACTCTAATCGTTGGATTGGCCACGGAAATCGCCGCCGCTCTTATTAGATGAGGAGCCCTCCAGGGTCTGCGGCCTTCCGTGCACGTTCCGTAAGGCGTCCTTACTCCGGCGTCTTTCCTGCAGGGTGGGCCCTTTCCATTTCTCTGTGCACCTCAGCTTCGGCTTCGGCTTCGGCTCTGGGTGCACCACGAGGCGCCTTCGGGCCAGCGCACCAGAGCCGGCTGTCCGCCCACACGGGTGTCTCCCCATCCCTCAGCGCTCTTAGACAAGCAGGCAACTCACGGAAGCGTTCTGTCGTCCACATGGCGCTCAATAGCGCGCCCGATCCCCCGCGAAACGGGCATTAATGCATCTCCCTCACATGGCGTTGTCTGGCGCTATTGGTCGCTGCTGGGCGCTCTTGGAGCGCCATTCGGTGCTCCTGGGCGCCATTTGGCGCCACTGAGCGCGAGGCGCCCATTTACATCCAGTCCACGACGAGCGGAAGCCTCCGTGGCTCACAGCCTCGGCGGCCGCCCGCCGCCGCAGAGGCCCACGACGTCGCCTCGCCGCTCGCCGCCGCCGCCGCCGTGAGGCGCTGCACGCCGCCTCGTCTGAGCGGGGTCGACGGGGGAGACTGGCCCGAGGGTCCTCAGAACGTGTGCTGGCGCCACCGTGCGCTTGCCCGTCGAAGCCCTTCAGCGCGACGCGGGCGGTGCACCGATGGCCGGCACAGGCCGAACGGGGCAAACACACACACACACACACACACACACACAACACACTCACACACACACACACACACACACACACACACACACACACGCACGCACGCACGCACGCACGCACGCACGCACGCACGCACGCTACGCACGCACGCACGCACGCACGCACACGCACGCACCACGCACACACACAAACACACCACACACACACACACACCACACACACACACACGCACACACAAACACACACACACACACACACACACACACACACACACACGCACACACGCACACGCACACACACACACACACGCATACGCACACGCACACACACACACACACACACACACACACACACACACGCACACGCACACGCACACGCACACGCACACGCACACACACACTCACACACACAAACGCACACGCACATTGGGCTGGCACACGTCCTGAGGCTTGTCGGCTGGCGACCAGTGGCCGCACGCTTCCCGGCTGACTTCCCTGGGGGCTCCTGGCGCCGGGAGGCGCCCACGTATATCGAGGAACGGGCCCTGCGACGGGGCGGAAACCAGCTGTGCGCAGCAGATGTCGTACCCCCCCCCCTTCCCTATTCTGCCCTTGCGTCTGGCCCGACCCCTCCTGTCGTTGCCCCCGATTGCCAAGCACGTGCGCGCGTGCGCGTGCGGGCGTGCCGGGCGCAGCCAATGCAGAAAAACATGCGCTGCGTCGTTTTGGGGGGCCTTCCCTGGTCGTCATCCAGCTGTTTCTGCTCAGCCTCTCTAAGTGAAAGGGGCCCAGGGACACACAAATAAATACACACAAATCCCAGGATTCCCAACATTTTCACATATTTTCTGGGTTTTTGTCTTCCCCCCCACTTCCCATATTTTCCCAATTTTCCTGGGAGTCGACGATTGATTGTGTCTGTGTGTTTCTTTCCCTCCTGACTAAGCTCGGGGAGACGTAAGACTCGGGTTCGGGGGGCTCGAATTGGCCTGACAGGGGTCATCACGGAAACGACGAGGCCCGGTCTGAAATTTGACGCGAGCACCCGGTGCAGGCATCCCACGAAAACTGGACCGTCGAAATCCAGGACGCGCTCGTCAGAAAGCGTCGGCGAACCCGAATTCCGGCGTGCTCGAGACTTGCGCTTCCCCGGTGAGAAGCCGCTCCACCTCTCGGTCGGGTGGCACACAGGGCAGTTTCTATTACACAGGATTTTTAAAACATGTGATTCTTAATAATGAGTAATCCCTGGACATCGTTGTTTTTAATACTGAATCCCTGAAATGTGGATGGAGAATGTTTTAATCGTTGTTTATCGTGGATTTGAATTGATTCATTACAACCATTTCATTAGGGAATGAATTTATCCATGAACTGAACGAATGTTTAATTAAGGAATGTTTATTAAAACAATGATGAAGAAGAAATTTATGCATGAACTCATCGTTGTTTTTCATACTGAATCCCTGCATGTATGGGGGGTGACCCGCACGAGGGGTGCAGACTCGAGGGGCGGGCCCTGTGGGGCCCCTTTCGGAGCCAGCAGGCGCCCCAAAGGGGCCCTACAGGGCCTATAGGGCCCTTCTCTTCGCCCCCCATTTGTGAAGGGGCCCTGGGACACACAAACAAATGCACACAAATAAAAAGATGTCCCACATTTTCCCATATTTTCTAGGTTTATGTCTTCCCCCCCCCCACTTCCCATATTTTCCCATATGTTCTGGGGAATCGACGATTGATTGTGTCCGTGTGTTTCTTTCCCTCCTGAATTTGGGTCACCCCCCATGGCCACCCGCCCGAACCTCCCTATCCTCCTCTGTTCCGCCTTCTCCTTCGCCTCCTTGTCTCGAGCAGGCTGCGAGGCGCGAGCGCCCGGAGCGCGCAAGACTCCGCCCTCCCCTCCTCCCCCCCTCCTCCCCCCTCCTCCGCCGCCCGTCCTCTCCCAGGGGGCGCACCGCCGCTCTGCTGCGCCGCCATGCCGCTCCAGGGCAGGAGCGCCTTGTTGATGGTGGAGTGGATGGAGCCGAAGTCGTAGTAGACCTCTCTCGGCGGTGGACAAACCTCCCTTTAGTAGACCTCCCCTTAGTGAGAACGGCCAGGGACCCAAATCGACGGACCTGGACCCGCAAAAAATGACGGCCGCGACGCCCTCTCGCGAACCGAAAACGGCCAATTCCTTAATCCACGTGTCAGGGAAGGAGGTCTGTCCACCCCCGACTCTCGCGAGTCGTGGCGTCCGGACGTCGACGACGACGAGGACGAGGGCGAGCTGGGCGTCGCTTGGTGGCGGGGCGATATAAACTCGGGGGAAGGAAGGTGCACTTCTGAAGGGCCCCCTTTTCTGCAGCCCTCGCTGCCCCCCGTCTGTCGCCCCAGGGAGTCGCCGGGAAGCCCACGGAGCGGAATCGCCCCCCCCCCCCCCGGCCCCCATAAGCCGGGACGCATCTGGGTAGGACTCTGGCGGCACCACGCGGGGGGACCGAGCCTTGGAGAACGCCTCGACCCCCAGCTGCAATCTCCTGGAGCATGCCCGGGCCTCCCCCGCGGGGGCTGCCTCGAGCCGCTGGGGACTCTGGGGGCGGCGCCGCCGGCACAGGAGCGGGGCGGCCGCGGGACGGGCGCCGACCACAGCCTGCGCACACGCGGCCGCGACGCCACCGCAGCTCCGAGGAGAAGCTGGGGCAACCGCCGCCGAGAGAACCCCCTCGGGGGGGCCGCGCCCGGGGCGGTCGCACGCGCCCGAGCGTCACCCCTCACAGGATGACGCTCGGGTGTGCCGCCGCCCCCTCCGATGGTGGGGCGGCATCACACACACAGACACAGACACGGACACGGACACGGACACAGACACAGACACAGACACAGACACAGACACACAGACACACAGACACACAGACACACAGACACACAGACACACAGACACAGACACAGACACAGACACAGACACAGACACAGACACAGACACACAACACACACACACGCCCACGCCCGCCCGCACGCACGCACGCCGCCCGCACGCCGCGCCGCACGCACGCACGCACGCTCCACCCCCCCCCCCCCCCCTGCCCCCACCCACACACACACACACACACACACACGCACACACACACACACACACACACACACACACACACAACACACACAACACACACACACACACACACACACACACACACACACACACAACACACACACGCACGCACGCACGCACGCCCGCAGCACGCACGCACGCACGCACGCACGCACGCACACATGGCGCACCCGCACCCCGCATCCCGCACCCCGCACCCCCACCCCCATCCCCACCCCCATCACTGTTCCTTATTATTAATCTACACCCCCTCCCCCACCAGGCCGGCGGCCCACCCGGAACAATGCCGATTCCATGAGGGCCCGCCCCCCACCACCTCTGTCAAAAAACAATACAAGCCGTACCTGGCCTCCACATTTGGGGCATGCGCGGCCAACCCGATGCGCCCCCCCCACCATCCCTGTTTTAAATTATCCCAGTGCGACCCTACCTAGGAGTTGGAGCCTCTAGGAAAGCAACATTAGCAGCAGCAATAGTGGATGCTTTGCTGCACTATGCTATGTTATGTTATGCTATGCTATGGATGCTGGGCTGTGCTATGCTATGCTATGCTATGCGATGATGCGCAATGCTCTGCTGGGCTAGGTTAGGTATGCTATGATATGCTATGATATGCTATGCTGTGCTGTGCTATGCTATGCTATGCTGCGCTGTGCTATGATATGTTATGCTATGGTATGCTATGCTATGCTGCGCTATGCTATGCTATGGTATGCTATGCGATGCTATGCTAGGATGAGCTATGCTATGCTACGCTCTGCTATGCTATGCTATGCTAGGCTATGCTAGGCTATGATGTGCTAATGCTGCGCTGCTCTATGCTGCGCTGCGCTAAGCTAAGGTAAGCTAAGCTAAGCTAAGCTAAGCTAGGCTAGACTAAGCTAAGCTAAGCTAAGCCAAGCTAAGCTTAAGCTAAACTAAGCTTAGCTAGCATGATATAGGCTAAGCTAGGCTCAGCTAAGATAAGCTAAGCCAAGCTAGGCTAGGCTAAGCTAAGCTAAGCTAAGATGAGATAAGTTAAGCGAAGCTAAGCTAAGCTCAGCTCAGCTTGGCTAGGCTAAGCTGGGTGAACCCAGGGGGCGCAACTGGGGGGACCGCGGGGCGGATGCCAGGGGAACCGCCCGGGGCGCATTCCACTGCCCGGCCCCTTAAGCCTCAGAGTAAGAACCCTTCTAGGCAGAGCTTAGGTAGGGACAAATACATTGGGGCAAAGACTTGAATCATGTTTGTGAAGCCCGCGAGCACATTGTATTGTTTTGACAAGGACGGCGGGGGTGTCAGCATATTCCCTGCTGCGCGCAGGGCGACCACCCCTGACAAACAATGCAACATGCACCTCGCGAGTAAATTCCGATCGCGCGCGGCATCCCGCGATCACGGTCAAGTGGTTTTTGACAAGGACGGCGTGGGTGGTGGTGCGTGGCCTGCTGTGCGCAGGCCCACCAAACACAATCATGGCCATTGGTTTTCGGCAAAGATGGCGGGGGCCGACATGTGGCCGACATGTTTCCCGATGTATGCTGTCGGGTGCGCAGGCGCACCTGACGCAGTCTGTATGTGCCCCAAACGTGGCGCACCTGGCGCGGGTGGAGTGTGCAGCAAACGTGTCGCACTCGGAGCACGTGGCGCATCGGGCGCACCAGGCATGTCTGGCACGCTCGGGCCCCAGGGGTGCAGGGCGCGCGTGGCGCTCCTGGCACGCGTGGCGCACTTCGCCCAAGCGTCGCGCACTTGGGGCCGGTTTTGGTTCCCAGTTGCTGTCCATCCAAAGACGACCGCTGAACATGGAACGTGCTCAGGCTCGGATGATACTTGTGTTGGGACGGCGGGTGGGAGTGAGCTAGACGGCTTGCAGGCGGATGGGTAGCTCGACCCCGACACCCCAACCCCCACCCCCCCCCTCACCCCCACCCCCATTGCCCCCCCCCCCCACTCCCGCCCCCCCCCCCCCCCCCCCCCCCCCCCCCCCCCCCCCCCCCCCCCCTCCCCCCCCCCCCCCCCCCCCACCCCCCCCCCACGCCCCCCCCCACACCACACACACAATTTTTATGATTAAACGCCCCCACATCCCCACCTAGCCGGCCGATTGCAACCCCGCCGTCCTAACTGTCCAAAAACAGCACCAACTCAATTTATCTCTCGCCAACATGTCGTCGAATTGCGAAAAGTGTTGCAGGTTTGGCACGAAATTAACATCGCTTGGGTGACCAGAAGCGGGTGGTCGCGTCCCACCCATCCAAAACAATACAAAATCAACGTTTGTTCGTCAACATGACCTTTCTTGTCGTCGACGCTGCGAAAAGTGTAGCATGGATGGGACGCGGCGCGCACCGCGCGCGGACGCCTGGCCAACCCTACGCGGGACCCCCCGTCCTACCGGCCACAAAACACTGCAGCGTCGACATTTTTCTTGAAAACATCAGCTTTCTCCTCGCCGGCGCTGCGAATCGCGTAGCCGGAATGGGACGCCCCGCGAATTCCCAAGAGACATGATCCTCTTCCTCCTTAGTTTTGCCCTCCCTCCCTCTCTCCCTCCCTTCCTCCTCCTCCTCCTCCTCCTCCTCCTCCTCCTCCCCCTCCTCCATGCGCGGCAGGAGCGAAACGATTGGCGGTGCAACACGCGTGGCTGGAATGAGACGCGGCGCACTTCGCGCGCTGGACATGGTGTCGCCGACCATGCAACATGAGAGGCCAGAGCGGGGCGCGGCGTACACCGCGCGCGGTCTTGTTTCTCGTCGATGTTGCTCAATACGCGGCAGGAATAGGACGCAGCTCATGTCGCGCGCTGAACGTCTAGCCGCCCACGATATAAGATGAGCGACAGGCGTCGGACGCGACGCACTTGCTTCTTATGTTGTGGGAGGGCGGGCGGGAGTGGACGGAGCCCTCTGGCTCGTTCGCGCTGGCTAACTTGACCCACCCACACCTCATCCCCACCCCTACTCCCACCCCAACCCGCTCCCGCACCCCCACCCCCCCCTCACGCCCCCCCCCCCCCATCACACACACACACACACCTTACACACACCTACACACACCACACACCACACATCAAACACCACACACCACACACCACACACCACACAACACACACAGTACACAACACACAACCCACACAATACGCAACACACAACACACAACGCACAACACACAACACACAACACACAACACACACACAGCATACAGCGGACAACGCACAACACACAACACACGGCACACATTACACAGCACACAACACACAACACACAACACACCACGCACGTATGCACACACACACACACGCACGCACATGCACACACACACACACACCACACACACAGACACGCACGCACACGGACACACACACACACACACGCACGCACACGCAACACACAACACACACACACACACACACGCACACGAACACGAAACCACACGCCCACACCACACGCAAACACACACACACACGCACACACAAACACGCACACACAAACACACATACGTGCACACAAAAGCACGCACACACACACAAACATGCGCGCGCACACACACACACACACACACACACACACACACACGCACACGCACACGCACACGCGCACGCACACAAACCAGCACACACACACACTCACACACACACACACGCACACGCACGCACACATAGACACACACACACACGAAAGCACACAAACACGCAAACACGCACACACAAACACGCGCACAAATACACACACACGCACACGCACACGCACACGCACACGAGTTCGCACACACACACACACACACACACGCAGACGCACACACATACACACACACACACACACACACACACGCGCACTCACACGCACACACACACACACACACACGCACACGCAACACACACAGCCATACACACAGCACACACGCACACACGCACACACATACACACACACACACACACGCACTCACACACACACACACACACACACAC